AGAGGTTTAAACACTCGTGTTGGTAGTGCACTTGAAAGCACTTCACGAAAAAATGTCATTTATATCAACGGGAAAAAGTAATGACTGGCTGCCGATATGGAGGCCTAATATCCCTCGAAGTCCAGTCAACCAATATTATAAACCTACTGTCTATATCGCAGCCCAATGGCCTTATACAAAGAAAACCATTCAAATGCCGATTGAAGTATGAACACCAAGATGGCGCACAACCTGAACTCAGGTTGTGTACCAGGTTAGGGTTCAGGTTGTGCGACATCTTGGTGCGCATACTTCAGGAGTACCCTGCGGTCTATATGGTAGCAAAATAGCCCTAAAATGGTGGCTGTTGCCATACATCCATAATTATCTGTCCCTAATCATCGAATATGAAACAACTTGATAGAAATGGCCATAACCGGATAGTTCTAGTATTTTAGAATCTTGACTTACCTCGGAATTCGTATATCGAGATGTTTGTTCCAGGTATCTGGATTTTTAAATGAACTTGTTACCGCACATCGTTAAATACAATATTTTCGCTATTACAAGCGGATTGATTTTTATGGTATAAATCAGGGCTACTCAACTATTTTAATGATATTTCGGCATCCTTAAACGAGCACTTCCTCGATCGACTAATGATTAGTAGCAAATTGAAATTGTTTATTATGGTGTTATAGTTGTTTTCGTATACATTCAAAACTATGAAAGTCGTTTTATAATAGGAAATTCAAAAAGTGGGGCTAATGATCCAAAATAAATAATTAGGTGCGGTCCAAATCCAATACTCGAAAGGTCAGGATTCGGACCGCGGTCCGCCAGTTGAGTAGCCCTGGTATAAATAATCAAAATAATCAAATTTAATTCTTTGACCCGGAAATGCCCAGATTCATTGCTATACTTATCAATATATATCAATACCGCCAAAAACGTGTTTAAATAATCGTACTTCGACTATTTATTCTTCAGAGCAAATAACTTTCGAATAATAAAGTTTATGGAAATTGTATCCAATTTACGATTGAATTATTTGGTTAGGGCCATGCTTGAAGCATTGAAAATCGGTACATAATATCAACGGACCATATAAGGGGTTCATAAGTTATTTTACGATACAGATTAAGCTTTAAAGTAACGACACAATGGTATGTTTAAGATTGCCTATTGTGACGAACAAACGGTATTTTTACAATGGGTGGTTTTAATACTAAAGCAAATATATAAGAGCGATTAGTATGGATACTGTAACGACAGCAATGTGTGATATTTTTGAATTTTTGAAAACTGGCATCATTGGAAAAACTTTTGGCATAATTTTTTTTTTATCTAGTGGACATATTCACAATAAACGTATAAAAGCGATTCAAAAACCAAATTATGACGACATATTATAAAATATTGCAAGTGTAAGCCAATACGTACGCAGGGGGCATTCTTATATTGAGTGAGAATGATTGATTACAAATTAAATACTGTAAATGGGCCACTCGGAGTATCGCACACACAGGGATGCTTATCACTACGAAACTATACGACCGAAAGTCAACAATGTTATTTATGGGGAAAAAAGATTAGGGATTGTTTAAAGCCTTCAGTTTAAACAAACTCGAAATTATGGAGTCTATCCAAAAATTCGCGTATTTTTTGAATTTAGAAAACTGAAATTTCATTTTTTTTTCTATATGATTTGATTTGTCCATATATATTTAATCGATTAAATGTACATCCGAATTTTTTTTTCCCGGGTTTATAGGGTCCTTCAGGTGAATAGGCTGTTTAAACACCGTATGAATTTTTCAAGGTAAATAAAGATTAATATATCAAATTCTCTCAAAAATAGAACCATTCAAAATACCCGAAATAGAAAGTAATAGCATGTAAGAGTTGTAGAATACCAAACTATTAGGGGTGCTCCCGAAGTATGCGAACCAAGATGGCGGACATCGGAACGTAACATGGGTAACAGGTTAGGGTTAGGCGATAATTTTTTTCCAATTTTCCTTATTTTAGTCCTATTATCAGTTCGAAGACTAGCCAAGAGCCTTCCGTAGTATTTATACCTAAAATTATGGCCTAACCCTAACCTAGTACACATATTACATTCCGATGTCCGCCATCTTGGTTCGCATACTTCGGGAGCCCCCTATTATGAAATTGTTTAAATATGCATGTAACTGCTTATCGTGTTGTAGTTGAACTATGTATGTCTGAAGGAGTCTGACCTTGGTCAGACGAAACGTTACAGAAATATATTTGTGTTAGTGTGCAGCAAGACTGTTGAATCACTTAGGATAGTTATCTTGCTACACCATCCTTGCAATATACGCATACAGATCCACCGGCACAAAAGCATAGAAGAAGGATAAGTAGTTAGTCTCGCAGAAACCAAATAATCAGTGTGTTGGTTTGAAATGGTGTTTTTATAAACAGTATCGTTCAAGTATGGACACCATGAACCTTTCGTTAGTTATCAGTTAATCAATTTTGATTTAGCGGTAATCAAACAGACGGGCATCGATTAATAAAATCTATAGATAAATCGCAGATAAACAATAAGGCGTTTGCAAACAAATGCTACAAAACTCAGACAGTATTATTGCCCAAGGCATAATGTTGCTACTACGATATCTCTACAGGTCCACAGTTAAGCATATCAATATCAAAATAGCAAAAACAAAGTCTTTTATCGGTGGCTTGGATTACAGGATTAGCGTAACAAAATAAATATACATGGAGGGCATATCGATGATTTCAAAGGTTTGGTAAATCAGGACCACGCTCGGCGATGTTGAGTGGTTCGGAGGCCTATCATCAAATATTCACAACTTTTATTCTAAAACATTTCATCTGACAAAGGTCAAATATGACGAAATTACATGTTTGTAGTTATTGAAAGATATTTTACTCGAATTTTGATTTAAAAATAAATAGATTGCAAATTCGTAATCAATGAATATTTCAAACTATTTCTGTCTGGTGAATTCAACTTAACGTATGGGTTAGAATTACCATGTATCTTTGAGTAAACTCTGCCAAAAATATTTACAACCGTTATCTTTCGGCATTACCCCTTACAAACAGTGTAAATGAGGTTATTTTGATGGTTGTACGTCGCTGAAGACGAACTGTCGTTTCTCAATATTACGTCTTAATGCATAGCTAACAAGGGTGAACGACAGTCATGCGGAAATCTGATAATCTTGCGCACACAGTTCAATGAGTCCGATTATAGATAATGATTATGTTGGGTTACTTCGAGACATTGAGAATATCATTTAGCGCTTTACATATGAAATCATACCAGAAACCTGGAGAAATTTGTTTATATTCTTGAATTACCATGGTATTCAAAACTTTCGATAGTACGATTAAGATAACTTCAAAACTAAGTTTGACAAACTATCTGCATAAATAAAAATACATATAAAACCTTGTTAAAAAGGATTTTCATGCTTATAAAGAAAAAACAAAGTCGATAAGACACTGTCATGTCCATGGGACAATTATCTAGTTACCGACATAGCCAGGTAACCGGAATTGATAGAGGCCATATGTCGTCCTAAGCTGTCATATTAGTTCTCCTCCTCGCCCTGGGATGACTAAAAATCGTATTCTATAAAACGGTTAACGGATAATATGCGAACCTTGGTGTCTGACGAAATTACCGGTCCAGTTGTCTGACGAAATTACCGGTCCAGTTTGGCTAGTGAAACCGTGTTTTTAACTTAAAACTACACCCATAAAGACGAAAATGAGAGACTGTTAGTTTAATAGTCTTCAGTTTAAAATAAAGTTTTTAGAAATTCGAGTATGCATGGTTCTTGTTTAAAACGATTTGCAAACAGATCAAGAAATTCTTTCCCCGAAGGTATCTATTGCGCCATTATTAACAGACGACCCAAGGTATGTATCTATATTGTTGTTTTGGAAACATTGTGATGAAACAATTGTTGTTTAAAATTAACCTTTTCAAGCCTTATCACTAAATTTGTTTTGCTTAAAAGTTCAGCAAACAAAGCACAAAAGTGTGACAATAGGTTAAGAAAGATCAAAAATCTTAAAAACACAGAGTTCGCCAGGAGAAAACAATAAAGGTCTCGCGTTTTCGCGGACTATAAAAGCAGTTATGAATAGAGAGGGGATACTGTTCCTATTCCTGAGTTAGACAAAAGATAAACGCAACAATGAGAAACTCTTTAAGCCAATTACCCAGTACTTAGAACTATGATATGAGTACATTGTGCCATTCATTTATGAAATACTACAAATACTTTATTGACAAATCATTGGATATAAAAAGCCTATCTTAAACTGGACATACAGTATAGAAATGAACATTGATTTTGTTCAAACAAAATTCAAAATATTGCTATTTAAGGATTCGGATATCAAAAATACAACATTTCATAAAAAACGCATTCAATATCGTTTGAGTAAAAATTGTTGCATGAAATCAAATTTTATGCATATATCATAACATATTCTGAAAATAAAATTTACAAAATCTCTTTACACTATCCGAACATCGGAATTAGAGACAGATTATTTCTTGCTTAAAATTCCCAAACTTTTCAATCTTAATCTTTATGCTAAATTTATGATAGAATTGTGAATAGAATAGGCCTATATATAATAAGGTGTATTGTCCTATTATGTACTTTTATTAAAATACCAAAAACGCATATAATGCTATTTGATTTAAAATAATGTTTTAATGAGACATTTCTAAATATACCTATTGAGTAAAAATAACTTCTATTATATTTCCACGAAATTTCCACAAATCCTATTATGTTCATACAATTTATGCTCAACAAAGTGAAAACGCCCTGTGGAATACCTTTATCGAGCAATGAAACTTGTAGAATAGGGAATTCCTTGTAAAGGGAAATGCAAAAACAGTTCTAAGACTAGCACTGAGGTCCCCCTCCAACTGCTCTGTGACCCCCTCAGGGGGCCATGGGTGGGAACCTCTGCTCTATGCTTTTAACCAAACTCACCATTTCATCCAAGCTCTTGAAATCACAAGCTACTTTCTGTTTAGGGGGTTCCCGTATTATTTCCTCCTCCTGTTCCTCACACTCCTCCTCACTCTGTTCATCCCTCAAATCTTGCTCAATCTCCTCATCAATTTCCTCTTCCATTTGAATCAAAACCGGAGCCGGTACGCCGAACTTTGACCCCCGTCGTGCAACCTTGATTAATGAATTATTTTGTTTGATGAGAAAGCCCATTCCCATATTTTGCTCTGAACGAGCAGATTGCAAAACGCAGTAAAAAGTTGGACAATGAGTAGCTAAGATAAATTTGAGTCAAAGATATCGCAACGGTCGGTTTTCGTTTACATTCTACCCCCAATATAATTTCATGGACAGGAAGCTAATCAGGCTGTAAGGACTTGCAATTGCCCAAAACTTATTTTCGGAGTACTTCATTTTAAGAGACCACGATGTAAACTACTCAGATGTATATTGTATATTCAGTATCCCATATTCTAACTGAATTATTATTTTAGAATGTATTCAAAGGTATGGGCCATCACTAGTTTCAAGTTTATTATGTTGAACATCCTTAATAAAGAGACATTATCTTCCCAATAATATTTTAGGAAGCAAGGAAAACGCTTCTTATGATAAATATGAAAAATATATTTGAATTTCATGAAAAAATGAGTGGATTACACACATCAAGAAAACACAAAATGAAATTATTATTATTTTTCCTCAAGAGACATTATTTCCCTTATAATATTTGGTACATACAACAGGAATATTTGATATCTGAAAATATGATCTCACAAGTTAAGAGACTTTAATTTCCATAATAATATTTCAGTAGAAAAAGCAAAATATGAAAATATAATGAAACCTCATGAAAAAATGAATGAATAACACACCTCAAGTAAACACAATATGAAATTCTTTTCGTTTTTCCTCAAGATCAAATCATTAGACTCAAACATAACGGCTTCAGCGATTCTAAGTTCCTTACGACACCAACCAATGAAGTTGGCAACGTTGTCTCGGGCAAAGAAGGTACTTGCATGACGACCCTGTGAAAAGATTGTTTTTTTTTTCATTTAAAATTTTCGAATTCCAAGGGATTTTGCCCTATACCAGGGGTGAGCAAGGTTTTTGAACCAGGGGCCAAAAATTTTGCCCACGTTCACTGGCGGGCCATGTAAGTGTGACGTTAAAAGTAACATTTTATGAACAATATTTACAGTGTTACAAAGCAAAGGTGGTAAACAATAGACCACGTGCCAAAACTAAGTTTAACCGCAATCAACAAATTTCTTGATATATATTTTTAGCTAGAACATCAAAAATTAGGTTTTTGTTTGGTTGTAGCATCATCAGGAGGGCCAGATTGAATTACCCAACAGGCCGTACTTTTCCCATGTCTGCTTTGTACGCTTAGGATAGAAGATAGATAGAAGGATAGAATTTACATATTTATCCCGGGGGAGAGGAAAGTCGATAAGACGGCCACGGCCACTCGTCCGGTTACCATTCCAAGTCGGGTATGGGATTAGTTTTACTGTATTGTTTGTTTTCGGAAGCATGGACTTGGTGGTGGAGGAAGCCGTAACCGACCAGCGGTTACGTGAACCACCCAACGACAGCGAGGAGTCCAGCAATCCTCTCGCACATAACCATCCCTGCATGGGATTCGAACCTGCGAACCCACGCAGAGTAATTAGACGTGCGGTGGCGAGCGTATTCTTAACGCTTAGCCCGTTGAGCCACACCGCCGCGCCTTCAATAGGTCAACATATTAACTCAGAGGCAAAGAAGACTTATCTCTGAGCAAAGTTGCCAAGAGTCTGATGAAACTTCATAGAATTATGTCCTTAATTTAGGGGTTATGGCCGTAAAAAAATTTTCTTTTAAGTAACTAGTACCCTTTTCTTCAATTTTCTGCGGCAATAAGACCAAGGGGTGAAAAACAAGCAAACCTATTTGAACCCTCCCTCATTAATCATCCCGAAAATGCCATTACTATAACAATCAATAACGAGATGCTATCCATCATACAATTTCAAAACAATTATTTCATAAAGTTCACTTTAGGAAAATGTAGTATTCAATACAGATTTGATTTATGCCAGAACTATTGTTGATACTAGCACAGTGTTTCCTACAAGGGGGGACGAAGAAAATTTGTTGAGGGGGGCATGAATCTAATTAAAAAATAAATGAAATATATGTTAGATTTTGCCCGCCCCATTTTGGGTATTCACGTTCACTTATTATGTAAACGTATTTTCAACGTGTTTTTTTGAATAAAACATACTTTCACGTTACTATCTGTTATTTGTTGCCCACTGTTAGCTAGTTATTTTTGAGATGGGGCACAAGAATTGACAAATTATAAAAAATGGAGCGCTTAAAAAGTTTAAAAACCACTGTACTAGCACATAAAAAAATTTGCATCTTAGGCTCGATTAAATTGGGTTCAAATATAACCTTTAATAAATTAGAATTCCATTTAAGTTCCTTGGACTCCCATGCCCTTCATAGCATTCCCAATACAAATGAAATCAATACAGCAATCAGATTAAAATGGATAATCCAAACTAACAAACATAATTAGTAAAAACATATCAATGAAGGTCAAAGACATTTTCGACAGAAATAATATAAGAAAGGGTTCACATTCACGTAAGGGGGAGAGTAAAGTCAATAAGGTGGATAAATCAAACAATGAAACAATAGCAATATGCAAATATGATTATGATTTTAAAAATTTTCCTGGGGGGGAGACAATAAAACAAATTATTTTTGAAATTGAAAATTTATATTATACTATTAAACTATTCTGAAATGTGTTCAAATATTTGAGGCGCTTTATAGTTATATGTATTTTTTAAAATCCTGATCCATCCCATTTTCAGTCCATTTATCTGAAAAAAGCTTGAGTTGCCCTGTCAAGGTCACAGTATAAAGCCAGAATGGGCAAGTTTTAGGACTCGGGGCCAACAATTTTGCCTATCTAGACTGACGGGCCATGTGAGTTTGATGTAAAAAGTTACATTTTATGAAAAATATTTACAGTGTTACAAAAGTAAAGTGGAAATCAATAAGCATCGTCAAAAACAAAATTCAATCGCAATTTTGACAAATTCATTGGACTATTTTTCAGCTGAAACATCAAAATTTGGTTTAGTTTGGCTGTGGCAGCATCATGCGGACCAGATCGAATTACGCAACGGGTCGGATTTTGCCCATGCCAGGTATAAATACTTCAGATCCAAATCAAATAAATTCAAACTAATCATAATGTAAACAAATACATACCGGATTATAGTGCACAGTTTTGGATGGTAAGATTATTCGGTCAAGTATGGGATCCCCACGATGCAGGACTCGAAATTCATTGGCTTTTTCATTGACACTGTTTGCATGTTCACAAAGCAGATTTCCATCTTGTAAAAATTCAATGAAGTTATCGACATAAATGTTGACTTGGTAAAGTTCCTGTGGAAATTAAAAATTAGGTTAAGAGCAAAAATAAAGTCATACTAATATGGAGGTCAGGTAACTAATTTTGTTCGCCTACTTTGTATCAAGTTGTGTAAAGGGACGGGAACTTATTCACTTGGGTAACACAGACAGTCCCCGAACTCGTAATAGAACTAATATAAGGAAAATCGGAATGAAATTATGCCCTAACCCTAACCTGGTACACATACTACGAGAGTATCGTATTTTGTATTATAAACATGCATAGGTTAATTGTTTTTGTCTTATAAAAATTTTTGATGGAAAAAGAGTTATCTTCAGCTCACCAAATAATCAAATTTATTCCACAGAATGGAAAATGATACGCTTACATTATTATTCCCCATTTCAAAGGAATATCTTGATGGCATAATGGTTTTTCGTTCACTAAATTACTAAATCCATACACAATAAACAATAAAACAAAAGGATATGATATTTTTAATTACAAAACCAAAATACCTTAAACCATTCGGCCAAATCCTCTTTCATAGCATAAAGATATTCTTCATTCGTGTTGTACGGTCGTACGCTTTGATTCGCAGCAGAACTTATGAATTTCTGCAATTCTTCTTCGCCAGGAACAAACCTATACATTCCTTCAGGTAACGCCATTCTTTCTTATTATCTTGAATTGTTATTCCCAATAAATTCGCTCATGTGTTGCGTCCCTGTATCTCCAAGTCATGATAAATGTAAACCATGAATAAGCATTAATTTGTTTTCTACTGCACTTACAGTAATTTAAATAACGAACCTAAAAATAGTTAGTTTACTTTAGTTCAATTTGGCATCAGTATGAAATGGCAGCATTGATACCACATTGTTTAACCCTTTCCGTGCGGTGGGCACGTATATACCTACCAACGACAAAAGTCGCTAGATTGTGGCGGGTACGTTGATGTACTCCACTGTTTTATTTAGCAATCGGTCGCAAACTGTTGGTCTAGTTTTTCCGGGTTTCAGTTTATTGATAGGAAGTCTTCTTCGAGATTAACATAAGCGACGGTAAATCTCGCTTTCGTTTACGACAGGAATTTTATTTGCGGCGGAACGAGGGAGTGTTTTTGTAGTTTATGCAAATTTCGTTTCGTGTTTTTTGGGTGGTAACAGAAGACCTATTAAGGTAATTAACAGTAAAGGATTTAGCGAAAATTTCTATTTTTTATCACGGCTTGAAGTTTCAACTCCCAAGAAAAAAAATGCCTTTTTTCCATTCGATTTGTGACTCAGACCACCACTTTTGAAAAAACTTTTTTTTTTTAATCGCCAATTGCAAGCTCTTTAAATAAGCTTTCCAACGAGCCATCAGTGAGCAGCAGAGGATCATTAGTTTTTCGTTAGTCGATCGATTAGTTGTGGGGGTACAAATGCATAAAATCGGTGTAGAAAATACGATTATTTAATAAAAAATAAAAATCGCATGAAAAGGGTAAATACAACTATTCCGACTAACCACGCTTCATTGATTACTGTGGCAAAGAAATTTTTTGAATTGACATTCTTCTTCTCGTGATAAGGACTAATGTTCTAATATAGCTATGAGTACTCTATATCAGGAGTGGCCAACATGTCGATCGCGATCGACCGGTCGATCACCACGTCTTGAGTAGCCTCTGATGTTTGTAAATTTAATAACATAGCTAAAAAATTGCCTTGATCCAGATTGATGTAGAGCTTGTCGTATGTTTTAAAACAGGACGAATACATTACCGCACATGCGCAAAATATGATATACACATACATCATTTGTGTCTGAGCAAGCCCGATAAAGCATATGTGATAAATTTTATTTGCAACAGTAGCAATGGCATCACAATGCCCAATTTTTTTTTTGAAAATTTTAGTCGATCGTGGTTGAAAGCAAGTTAGCCACCCCTTCTCTATATCATAGATTCTCAAAGTTCTTCATACGAAGGGCTCCGCGATATAAACATAGAGAATCAAAAAGCTATTCGTCCACTAATCAAAACAATTTGAAATTCAAGGAATTTGTGTTTTGTCCATGACAGTAAAAAGAGTCTTTTAATAACCATTGAATCGTAAAATAGCGGCATTTGTACACCCTCATTATTATAGGATTATTCCGACAAATCATGGCTCACAGATTCCTGTGGAGAATAGTACTGAAGTATAGGCTAATATAACTAAGACAAATTATAAAACATTCCTCGGTTTCTTTTTTTAGAAAAATTTGCTCATTGTAGGTTCACTTACACTACCTTTAAAGTAAAGAAGACTTATCATCTCTGAATTAAGTTACATGCGACATAATGATGCTGGTATGCAAGAACTACTGAAACCATATGGGATTATTGTGGTAGGCCTTCATGACACACCAATAAATTTAAGACTTGAAGTTAAAGTCAACAGTATCAAGACTTCATATTTACTGGTAGGATTCATTATTTCAGTAGAAATATCTTGATCCAAATAATTTTACCATCTGAAATTTACCCCCATCCACCTGCAAAGCTATCTGGTGACTCCTAGGAAACAAGCGATCTATCTCTGAGCGAACCTAATAAAATCAAAATACATCCTATTTAATAGAGTCAATATGATCATAACTCTGCGATCACTTTTAACTCAGTAGGGAGTAGTATCTTGATCCAAATTTCACAATCTGAAATTCAGCCTTTTTCACTTGACTTGCAAAGCTATCTGGATATCCCTAGACAAGATTTTGATCGAAAACTTGCGATCTAGCTTTGAACAAACTTAGACAAAAATAAAAATCCCATTCACTGATATTTTAAATTTTACATCTGACAGATTTTAATTCCTATTAAATGGACAAACTGAAACAGAAATAAATCTAATCTGCCAGAATCAAAGCACTACATTTACAATTGAATAATTCTGACGACTGATGTTTTAAATCATAAGAACTTATGAATAACACTTCAGCATATGGCACTCATAAACTAAAAAATAAACATACTGTCAAACTAAATAAACTTAAATTCTAAGAACAATCTAATACGATATGCCATATTGGAAGGCAATTAAGAGTAATTAATTAATTGTCACAACAGACTGGACCTCATTAAATATTCAGCAACATAGAGCACTGTCTATCTGAGTCTGATTAAAATCAATATTGTCCTAATTCATTGGATAAATTGAATATTATATGAACAATACACAGTAGAAAGCCCCATGTGGATTTGAGTTTCTGTTTGTTTATTCATTTATATTGTCAAGAAGAATCAATGCCCTGGCTGGGATAATAAAGTTAATCCTATATTGTTTTATGTATGGGAGCATTGTTAGAATTCTTTTTGTTACAGGGCGGTTTCTTCCACTATTAGGGCCATGCCTCTGAAACAAAGTTTTTATTAGATACTAGGTAACCTAGTTGAGTTGATTCCCAGATCAAAGGAATAAGAAAGTTATATAATTATTGAATTGTGAAATATGTAACCTATAAATCTTTCTTAGTTTAGTTTGATTGAAGTTGAATATACAATCTACTACAACAGTACAAGGGTGCATATTGATGGGATGTTTCTAAATGTTGTTTTTCTGTCATTTCTACTTCCCTCAATCTAGTATATGGAAATCCTATCCCTAGCACTGTCAGACTGTAGCATGCTATCTGACTGTTATCATGCAAAATAATTAAATTAAATGAACACTAACTCAAATCAATAATTTTAACCTCGTTTTGCATGCAGTAGAAACAATTTCTAATGTTTATGATAAATTTTTCAGTAACAAAATTCTGTTAAATCGCCTCAATTCAATGTCTTTTTCGCTCTGATTCGAATAGTTTATATAAGCGCGCGGCGAAACACCACCGACCGCCACCGCAAACTGCTCACGAATGCGTAGTAGCGTCTTAGTTCTCAAGACAACCGATAATCCCACAAATTCAGAGCTCTTTAGCCCCATCTTTCGGAATTAAAATAATGTAGAACTTGAAGTTGAATTTTCATGTATAACTTATACGAGAGGAAATAGGATAGGATAGGATTTACATATTTATCCCGGGGGAGAGGAAAGCCGATAAGACGGCTTATCTATATGGCGAACCACGGCCTCTCGTCCGATTACCATTCCAAGTCGGGTATGGGATTAGTTTTTTACTGTATTTTTTTTTTTTTTTCGGAAGCATGGACTTGGTGGAAGCCGTAACCGACCAGCGGTTACGTGAACCACCCAACGACGGCGAGGAGTCCAGCAATCCTCTCGCACATAACCATCCCTGCATGGGATTCGAACCTGCGAACCCACGCAGAGTAAGTAAAGGTGCGGTGGCGAGCGTATTCCTAACGCTTAGCCCGTTGAGCCACACCGCCGCGCCTAAATATCGTTGCGACGACTTGAAGTACAGTAAAACTAAGTCCTTTAATTTAGATAAAACATCATTTTGAATTTTCTGAAAGCTGAACCAAAATCGTGTGAAAGTGTATTAGTATTAACATTCGCATTCCGTGGAGAAAACTTATGCACGTGAGGATAGCTAGACTCCACGACTTCCTCCACTATCGAGTCTATACATCAGAAAAATATAACTTGCAAATTGATCTCATACCGACATGGACTCATGTACGAGCGAGAGGCCGTGGTTCACCATATGATCATTCGGCTTTCTATTCCCCCTGTGTGAATATGCAAATCCTGTCCTATCCATTGAGAGACATAGAAATGGATGGAATAGTTCATAAGTCACAAAGGGTTACCAAACCCGCGCGTATCATCCCTCACGAAATTCGAGTCTGCAAAATCACAAATGTTTACCAGCAATAGATGACGCAAGGCAATGCTGAACCGGTTGGTTGAGCAAAGACTTATTCTGAGCAAAGGGCGTATAAACAAAATTGATGGCTAATTGATCGATATGGCATTTCCAGTTTAATAAACAAGAGCGCGATGCTCATATATATATTAACACGAGGCTAAAACGTACCACAAACTTCACGACCAACGCAAACGTAAACGACACCAAAGTGACTATAACATTATTTATAGACACTTTGATCGACACAAGGTTCGCAATTTTTTATGACGTTATCGCAAACAAAACGATTTCCCATAAAGCCTACGAATATTTTAGAAATGAATGAAAGTAATAGCCTTTTAGCGAAAAATGCAATCTTCGACCACTGAAAACAAGAGCGATTTTTTCACAGAAGAAGAAATATAATGCTAACAACAAGATTAACAACAATAGAGCAACGCTCAAATATATGGACACGTGGACTAGAGCGAAGCAGGGTTTACCTTTGACGTTACCGGTACCGTACCCTCAAAAAGTTCCGGGTTTTCAGTCGCAAGAACAGTCAGCCGTCACGCTTGGCGGATTAAAAATCGTGTTCCCATAATTAAAAATTAATACAGCGCAATTTTGGATGAAATATTAGATCTCATAAGATTCATAGAAAATTCAGGAATAAATGAAAGTAATAGCCTTCTGGCAAAAAAATCAATCTTGAACCACTGAAAATTCCAAAGCTATTGGTCTAGTATTCGAAGAAAAAAGCGATTTTTTAATGATAATGACGAAAGAAAATAACAATAAATAACAAAATTTTGAAACGATCGTTATGGCCACTAAACGCGTCCAATAACAAAATAATAACAAAATGATCCATAGGCCCATTTCGTGTCCGAATATTAAGAATCACTCCTAGAAGTTTGTAAAGAGGCGATTTTTCAAATTATATATGGCAACGGTGGGCAAACCACTGTAAATGCTGCTCGCCGGAGTTTTTGTGCGCTCTTCTCACTGGCAAT